TGTTGTTTGGCGGGTCCGGGCTGGGGATTCGAACCTGCCACCTTAGGTGTACGTGGCTGGCGCCTTAGCCGGTTGAGCTATAGGCGCCGAGCCAAAGAGATGGTTTGAGCTGCATCTTGAAAGATGGGAATGATGTGGATGTGTGGCGAGGTGGGGGAGTCACAGTCCTGATTGACTCGAGGAATATATTTGGTTAGGTTTATAGAAATGGCATGTGCAAAGTTTTGTAAGTTGAGTTAGGAAAGGCATTTTGAAAGTCAGTGGAATGGTCAGGTTGGAACACTGGGTGTGTGTGGGAGTAGAAGGAAGGAATGGCTTTTGCAGTTTACAAAGCGTGCTGTCATGTGCCCACTCCCCCCCCCTTTTCCTCTTTCTTCTCCCTTTCCTTTCCACGTCCTCTCCACTTCCTCTCCCATTTCTTTCCTTTTTCTTTTCCTCTCTTCTTCCCCTCACGGGACATAGCATCTCATTCCATCCATTTTTATATCAACATTATGAAGTGGGTATTATTCTTAGTATTTAGATGAGGAAACCTGAGGTTGAGGAAGCCTCTACCCATGTTTGCATCGCTTCTAAGAGTTTATTCTGAATCTGGTAAAAGTCCTACTCATTCTTCTTCTTTTTTTCTTTGTAGAGACAGACTCTCACTTTATTGCCCTCGGTAAAGTGCCGTGTGTCACACAGCTCACAGTAACCTCCTGCCCCTGGGCTTGGGTGATTCTCTGCCTCAGTCTCCTGAGTAGCTGGGACTACAGCAGCCTGCCACAATGCCTGGCTATTTTTTTTGTTGTTGCAGTTTGGCTGGGGCCGCGTTTGAACCACCACCCTTGGTATATGGGGCTGGCGCCCTATCCACTGAGCCATAGGCGCCGCCCACTCATTCTTTTTTTTTTTTTTCTTGTTAATTGACTTTGCAATAAACTACTCACTATTCTTAAATGTGGAAAAGAAGCTGGGCTAGGGTTAGGGGATTGTAGAATTAGTAAGGTGGGCTGATCAAACTGTTTAAGGCAAGATGGATAAGAGCACAGCTTTGGGCCAGATAGATTGCCCCAGTTTCATTGTTTGCTAACTGGATGACCCTGGGCAGGTTGCTTAATTTTGCTAAGCCTCAGTGTCCTCACTTGCAGCATGGGACCAGTAATAGCCACTTCATGAGGTGGTCGTGAGGATCAGTGAGGTGTACCTGGTATAGAGCAATTTCTCACCACCTGGACACTATTGTAATTAGCCCTCCTGGTACTGTGGGCCTGCCATATTCTCTAGCACAGACGTTTCCAGGACACAACCCATCCTGGGTAGGGTTTTCTTTTTCTTTTTTTTTTTAATTATTAAGCATGACACTAAAGGTGCTGAATGGATGCCACCAGTAATGTGCCCAGCATGGCCTAGGAACTAGTGACTCAGACCTATGCCTGATGAGAAGAAGGTTTAGATTGTGTGTGTGTATGTGTGTATTTGGTGGTTATGGCTTATTCTCTGCAGGTGCTATATGAAGAACAAGTATATTAGAAGTGGGAAGGGCAAGGACCCTTCATTATCAAGAACTGAGATGAGCTCAGACCTACTTGGCAGTTGGTAGATGACTGGTGTGGTCTCTTAGGGTCCCTCCTGAGCCTGGGAAAATGGCAGTAGGGGTTCTGGTCAGCATCAGTCCCTCCCACTCTGTGGCTGAAGGCTGATGAGACATTTGTCTTTTTTCCAGGTGACAACGCATGGCTGTGCCCCAGGCTTTCCTACTGGTGGCCCTCTATGAGCTACTAGTGTCTCGATGGAGCCCTCAGCCTGCCCTCGAAGCTTGGCTGAGGGCTTCTTGGAGGAGGAGCTTCGGCTCAACGCTGAGCTGAGCCAGCTGCAGTTTTCAGAGCCAGTGGGCATCATCTACAATCCTGTGGAGTATGCGTGGGAGCCACATCGCAGCTATGTAACTCGCTACTGCCAGGGCCCCAAGCAAGTGCTCTTCCTGGGGATGAACCCAGGACCTTTTGGCATGGCCCAGACTGGGGTAAAGGACTTGGCCTCTCTAGCGTGTGAGGTTCCAAGGTGGATACTCGGCTGGGTGTGATGAGGAGGAGCATATGTGGCTGTGGACATGCATGGGTCCCCCTTCCCCCGCCTCTCCCAACACACACACTGGCTCCTATGGTCTCAGACACTCTTCCGGCCTCTCTAGCCGTAATTAACCAAGCACATTAATGGTAGTTCCGTTTTCCCTGTGAGCTATCCACTAATTGCCTCTGAGAGCCCTTCTGCCAGCTCCATCTGTATCTTACCTTGCTGGATCTCCCCTGTCCCTAGAGTGTGGTTGGGGTCAGAAGAGAGACTGGGACTGCTGGGACCTTGGATCCTGGTTGACAGGGGTGGGCATATATAAGATGCAGGGCATTCTGGCAGCCTTGATTCTGTTTCTTAGCTGAGGAGAGGTTCAAACCAGAGCTAGGTTATAGGGCCTGCTGGCTTTCCTTTCAGAATTCAGGATGAGTGACCGATCCTCAATGGGGGGTGCTTGGCAGGTTAGGGAGGGGAAGAGGCTTCAGGGCAGGAGACTCAATCGCTTTTATTGACCCTGACTGGGTGATGAAAGGTGATCAATAATGATTGATGGAAATGACAGCCTGAGGCCTGGGGCTGAGAGGGCACCCAGAGAGCAGTGGTCACCCCTGCCCTTCTCCCTGTATTCTGACTGCTGTTCTGTCTCAGGACCATCTGTCTGTCCTTAATACTAATCATCAAACCCTGTGGAGGACCAGATATCTCAGTGTATTTCCTGTACTTGGTCCCAAAGGCTAGTGAGGATAGAGGTAAACAAATAGATTCTTCTGGACCACAGTCCACAATGAAACACTGGAGAAAGATGGACAGGCTCAAACCACAGAGCCAGGAATCCATGTCTCAGGTGGAGGGGCAGTCCCGGGGTGTCCAGGCTAGATCTCACTGAAGGTGGAAAGGGGTCAGTTGATCCAGAGCCCAGGAGTCAGGTCTCAGGTCTGAAGACTCATGTTTCTCTCCTTCCTCACAGGTGCCCTTTGGGGAAGTGACCATGGTCCGAGACTGGTTGGGCATTGGGGGGCCCGTGCTGACCCCGCCCCAAGAGCACCCTAAACGACCAGTGCTGGGACTGGAGTGCCCACAGTCAGAAGTGAGCGGTGCCCGATTCTGGGGCTTTTTCCAGAACCTCTGTGGCCAGCCCGAGGTCTTCTTCCGTCATTGCTTTGTCCACAATCTGTGTCCACTGCTATTCCTGACTCCCAGTGGGCGCAACCTCACCCCTGCTGAGCTGCCTGCCAAGCAGCGAGAACAGCTTCTTGGGATCTGTGATGTGGCCCTTTGCCGGCAGGTGCAGCTGCTGGGGGTGCGGCTGGTGGTGGGAGTGGGGCGACTGGCGGAGCAGCGGGCACGGCGGGCTCTCTCAGGGCTAATGCCAGAGGTCCAGGTGGAGGGGCTGCTACACCCCTCTCCCCGTAACCCACAGGCCAACAAGGGCTGGGAGGCAGTGGCCAAGGAGAGACTGAATGAGTTGGGGCTGCTGTCCCTGCTATCAAAATGAGAACCCCTGGGACCAGGCATAGGAAGGACATGTTCAAGGTCTCCAAGTCATTCTTGGCCAAGCAGAGGATAAAACACCTCCTGGACTAGAGCCACAAGGTCCTCTTGGGCTCCCTGGTAGCTGGGAAGCATGCTCTCTGATCTGTTGACTGTCTACCAACCTGCAATAGCAGTTTTGACACTACTCCAGTTTGCCCTCCTGATCCTGATCCCTGCTTTTTTCACCACCTTTTGAGCATTGCCCCTTTGTGGTATTTCACTCTACAGAGAATCAGAAGAGGGGCTTTGTGGCACTTGCAGACTGCTCTACCTCATCATTTCCTTGGGAAAGCAGAGAATGACCCAAACAGTGACTTCTAAGGTCATATTTGCTGTTTCAGAGGAATGCCATGCCAAGATCCTTACCTTCCTTACAAAACAGCATCCTGCTGCTGACCCCTTCTCTTATAGGGTCAGGACAAAGCATAGGTCATGATACTAACACAGAACTAATTATGGGAAGCTAAGGCTGGACTACACAGATTCACTGTTGTGGAATGGGAAAGACAGAAGACCTGGATTTTCTCTTTTTTTTTTT